AGAAAATGAAGTGGGAAATTATTTATTATATTCAACATAACTCTTCCGGAATTTAAATCAATCACTAAATTGACGTGCGTTATGATTTCCTCATAAGTAAAATTTCTATTCGATTGGCAAACATAATTTACAAACCGTAAAGACTTAGTATGTACTGAAATCATTCCTAAAATAAATATACATAATTAAGTTAAAATATTGACATAATATTTTCGAGCATTTTGATTTCAAAAGACATAATCACATAAATATCATATAAATATCATTTTGAACAATAACTCTATAAAAAATTTCAACTATTACAGTGAAACGTGTAAAAGTTCAAACTAAATGTATACTTTTCATCATGATGTAACTTAACACTAGTCAACCTTAAAGATTTTTATTCGATCCTTTGAACAAAAGCGCCCTGTTTCAGAATAAGACACATAAAGTCTTCTCGATTTCTTACAGTATGCCACTGCTTCCGGGTACCATTTACCAAGTTTCCCAATGATCGTTATCTTACACTGCTTACAGCTGTCTGATACTCTCCGCAAATTGTCGTCAATATCTTTAGCCAAACAAACAAGAAATGTGCCATCATTTAACTCACAAATACCTAAAGCTGATCCTCTCTGTGCTGGTTGATAGGTATTTAAAACGTTTCCCTGCCAGTCTAGTTGTTTAACAGCCTTCACAAGATAACCACTGTCACTAGCATAGATAGACGTTCCAGCTGTATTAACCGTGACATACCAGGGTATGCAGAACAGACTATCATCTTCACTAAAACTTTGCAATAATTTACCTTGTAGGTCAAGAACTAAAACTTTCCCTGGATTATAATTACATGACACAACAAGCTTATCTTGGCTGTAAGCAATTCCATAACATTTCTCGTTGATTTATTTTCGAAGAAACATTTGATTTCAGCGACAAAAAATGAAATTTCCCTGTTGGGGTAAAAACGGAAACTTATCATCCGTTATAGCTGCAACAAAAACGTCAGTTTTTTTTTATCTCGAACAACTTTTTTTCAAACTGTAAATTTTTAACATTTTTTAGTCCTGAAAAAAACTATTTTTCGAGTTTAATAATCTTCCCGGGTTTTTTCACTTTTTTGTGGTTTCCCGAAAGAATTCAAACTATACTTCAACAACCTCAAGATTAGCGTTTACCCTCAGACGGTTTTGAGTGGTTTTTATCACGGGGAACATTTTACCCGGGATTTTTTTTGTAAAAGTTCCCCCCATTGCTTGTTTACTAAAAGACAAAAACTGTTTTGACAAATAAAGTCGGGGAAAACATCTGCCCACTAATTTTTTGCTTACCCTTCCCCTTTTTCAACTCGTTTCTTTGTTTTCTTTCATTTCAAACAAACAGCTTATCAAGGGCATTTTCTTGGTATCAAAGTTATCCAATGCGTTTTCGTTTTTCAAGTCAGTTTATCTGTGATTTCATGTTACACCTGTTAATAAATCATTTAGATTCGTTTGTTGTTTAAGAAGTATGTTGTCAGCTTTCTTTAACAGCATGTTTCTCCATTTTCTTCTAGACGTGTATTTATTTCTTTCTGAATTGATGAATCCGCTTTAACTACGTCATCGTGGTTTTTAGAAAATAGCTTTCATCTCATCTTTTAATTCTCTTATCTGTGAGTTATAATTATCCTCCAGTGCTTTCATTTCTGCCATTATTTCATTAAGCTCTTCACTGTCTAGAATATGCTCCGAGAGTTTTGGGTATGTAGTTACAGTACATAACCTGTGTTTCAGCGTTACACAAACACTGCAAAGCAAACGATGTCATGATCTTTGCAGTAGAATTTCAGTTTTTCGTCTCCCATGATCATCACAACTATCAAATTTCGTCTTTTACGATTGGAACGCTTGGTGTAGTTGGCATAGAGTCTTGATCTTGTAGAATATGATGACGTGATTGGAGTTTGTTTCTTGTGGTGCTTGTAACAAGTGTCACAAAGATGTTCTTTGCAGGTTGAACAATAACCCCTTGCTGGTACCCGGGCACCATCTCTATCAACACGGGATACAGAACAAAAGAAAGTCCTCAGCAGAGCCCCGTGAAACAGAAAATGTCTTTTTTTGTTTTTGTTTACCAGGAACTTCCATTGTTGTTTCGTTCTGAAATTTATTTATTAATGACAGTTCAAAATAATATGAATGTAAAGCACCATAATGGATGCAAGCGTCAACTTTTAACAACAAAGAAACAAATTATACAAAATACAATGATCTTATTTCTTATTTTAAGATTAATAGGTCTTTATTTATTGCCCTGAGTTGTCAAGTAGTATGTCAATTCCATACCATTTTTAATCCAATCAATAAATATAAACCTAATAACACATACATGGATTTACAATTGATTCGTATTTCTTAATTTCAAGCTTTAAAAATAACAATAAACGCGAAGATTTTTTTTTTAAATTATCTACATTTTCATGGTTAAAAAAAATCAGTCATCGTAATGCATGAAAAGTGTTATTGATACCACTTATGGGTTTTTGGGGGGCTTTTTTGTTGTTGTTTTTTAAGAATTATACCGGGCCTATGAAATGCGTAATAAGGTAATTAACCGAAAAAAGGAAGAAAAAAAGAAACGTGACAATACATTGTGTCCGTAATCATAATCAAAACTTTTATTAAATTTGTATTTCATTGTAATATTGCTTAGTAAAAATGATCACTGCGGAACAAAAAACACATTCTTCACACAATTTTATTACATACTTATAAATGAAGTATTGAGAAATACAATGTATATATGAAATAAAATGCGTATTTTCATATTTTTTTCTTTGTCCGTATTTCACTGTAAAAATTATTTTTCACTGAGTGAAACATATTTTTCCATATTTTGCACTGAAAACTTGCGACTACTTTCTTCTTAATTTCGACTAATACACAAAAATAAAGGAGAAGTCTTAAGAATTGTAAGGTCAAAAAAGAGAACAAATATATAATAAACAGAAAATTCAAGTTCTTTTCTATACATAAAGAAGTTATTCATGTTTTTTTTTTTCAAATAAATACAGGATTAATTTTTAAATGAGTGTTATGAAAATAAATATTCCAAGAGTGGTGGTAGCCACGAGTGATATGATGTATGATAATTTACATACCACAAGGTGAAAATAAATCCTGTATTTATAGAAAAAAAACTTAAATTTTCTGCTTATTACATACATTTTTCTCTTCTTATTTTGACATTACAATTTGAAAGACTTTCCCTTGAATTTTGTTTAGAAACATAGTAGTTCGGCCAAGACCCCAGTGAAAATACGGAAAATATGGTTTCACTGCAGTGAAAAATAAATTTTTACAGTGAAAATACGGAAAATGCAAAAATGCATTTTTTATTTCACCATTTTTTTCTCAATATTTCTTTTAAAAGTACCTAATTAACAGGATTTATTTTCATCTTGTGATATTAAAATTGCCATATTTCACATGGGGTTACCGCCACTCGTGAAATATATTTTTATACCACGATGAAAATTGATGTTGTATTTATAGAAAACATCTTGAAGTATCCTCTATTATAAAAATTTTCAAAAGGTTTTTTATTAAAATTTGAATAAATTTGAATGGGGGGATATTGTTTAAAATTTTCGTTTTTATTTAAATTTTTAAAAACCCCGCAAAAACATTTACATTTTATAAAGTAGGGGTGGGAAATTATTATTTAAAAATCATGTAAAAGCGGAACGAAGAAAATGTAAAAACTCAACCCAAAGACCATATTTGGGCATTTTTTTATTTAGAAATATTTAAAATTTCCCAAAATTAAAAAAAATTTTTAAAACAAACCTTTGGGAACAGAAAAGGGGGCCAAAAAAAATTTGGGGCCCTTTTTTCCCTAAAAAAACCTTTGGGGTCGGGGGCCAAAAAAATGGGGGCAGGTAGGGACCCCGGGAAAACAAAAAAATTCTTTAGGCCTAAAAAACCGCAAACCCCAATAGTAAGTTTTAAAAACAAAAGGGAAATAGGGGGTTATTTTGGTCTAACCTACGCATGTAAACAATATTTATATAATACTAAGAGTTGTTGACCAAGTTTAATCCAATATATCGAGTAAACGTCCATCTCAAATCAAATCAAATCAAATCAAAATTTATTTATTGTCGGTATATATATAACATTTTACAAAACATAAGCTATGTATAGCTTTTGACCGACATACATGCATAATGATATAAACATAAAACTCATAAAAGAAGCACATTAAGATATTAAACTTTGAAAGACAAATGGTAAAAGATAAGTTAAATTACTATAATATGGGATGTAGACATTAAATGTTATAATTTAAAATAAAATAATAATAATTAATAAATAGTAATGATATGCTAAGGATATGCTTAAAAGTTCTATACTGTATCATAAGTGAATAAAAAGATATATATCTAGATAAAATGCGGAATATATTAGCACATACATAAAATAAGATTACATTAAAAGTGGGTGGATACTGCTGATCTTGACCCAGGCCTAGCCTGGACTGCTATAAAAGAAAGGAAATACGATATTGAAAATGAAAAGGATCACAAAACTGTTACCACTAATTAGGTTTTATAAATAAAAATCCCCAATACAAAATTTGTAAGAAGTGATCAGCAGCCTCCTCAATAAGCAAACTTCGCAAAAAGCTGACAATAAGCAAACAAAAATTCAAGCATACTGGAAAAATAATACATGTACATAATCATTTATGTTGAGAATATTAACAAAATTTAAGCCAAATGTGAAATAAACAGATACATGTAAGTAAGCAGCAAAACAAAAGAAAGCAGGCAAGAAACAAAACTGAAGATGGAGCTAAACTATAATGCAGGTTTATTGACAGAAAGTACATGAGCAACTCTCTCCATTCCATGCACCAATTAGACTTTTAAATTGGTCATAATTCACTTCCATTCTGAGGTGTTGAGGAAGTGAATTCCATAGTTTAGGTGCATAGGAACGAAAAGAGTTGCTGCCATAACTGGTGGTTCTTACCTGAGGGATAATGGCTACATTTTTATACCTAAAATTAAAAGAATGAGATTTTATATTAACAAGATCATGTAAGTATGTTGGTCCTTGTTTATGAATAATTTTATGAATTTCGAGGGCTATAGTTCTGATTCGTCTTAGTTTTAAATTTGGTAGTTTAGATTTTATTAAAAGTGAGTCATAGTCTGATTGATAGTCATCATAAATGAATCTTAATGCTCTTTCTTGAATTTTCTCTAGTTTTTTTGTGTACTTTTCTCCACAGAAGTGCCAGGTGACAGGGCAGTAATTAAAGTTTGATAGTATAAAAGAGTAATATATGTTCAATTTCCCCAATTTACATAAATTTTTACCTATTCTCTTTAGCACGTTTAGTTGTTTTGAGGCTTTTTTACAGATATCAGAAATATGATTATCAAATTTGAGTTTAAAATCAAAAGTTACCCCTAGAAGTTTAACAGATTCATCACATTGGATTGTACTATCATTTAAATTGAAACTAATATTTTGATCCCTAGTTTTTTTACCAATAGCAATAGCCTGGAATTTGTCGGGGTTTGCTTTCATATGATTGTCCGAAAACCATTGTATTAATGACTGACTATCTGACTCTAAAGATTCAACAACATTGTCAATGTTTGTGTCACTGCATGATAAAGTGTTGTCATCTGCATAATTATAAAGATCACATTTGTGTACAAAATCAAAAATGTCATTTAAAAATATGTTAAATAATACTGGGCCTAGAATAGAACCTTGAGGAACCCCTTTATAAATATCTTTGAAAGAACTTAAATTTGATCCAAGTTTGACGCATTGTTTCCTATTTGTTAAATAATTAGTTAATAAATCTAGGGCATGGTCGGAGACCCCATAACATCTAAGTTTCATGAGAAGGAGGTCATGGGGTAGGCAGTCAAAGGCTTTTGACAAATCCATTAAAATAGCTGCTATGTATTTGTTTTCATCCAGTGATCTTTTCCAGTCTTCAGTAATTTTAAGTAGAGTGCCTTGACAGCCGTAACCTGGTCTAAAAGCAGATAAGTAAGTATTAAAATGGTCATTGAAAAAGTCAGTTAGTTGGGTATTAATAGACCTTTCGAAGATTTTAGATAAGATTGGAAGGATACTAACAGGTCTGTAATTACCTTTATCTAGAGTACTATTTTTCTTATGGACCGGAACTACCTGAGCTATTTTAAGACTATCAGGAAAGATGGATGACTGGAAACTCAGATTAACCATATTAGTAATATGTTCCACGACTGAAGGTTTAGAAAATTTTAAAAGTTTAGCAGATATGCCATCTTGACCGGTTGCTTTTTTAGATGATAATTTATCAATCTGTTTACTAATGAAGGAATTATTTACAGGTTGAAAATTGAGTTGTTTATCAGATTTAAGATTATTTCTTATAGAATTAAGGCTAGGGTGATTGTTGTTGATTGGTATTGAGTCTGCACCAATGTCCTTAGCAACATGTACATAAAATTCATTAAAAATATCACACACCTGGGACTGATCACTTACTAGAATATCATTTTCACATAAAATCATGTCCTTTTTTACAATAGTACCTTTATTTGTTAAAAATGGTTTAACAGTAGGCCAAAATGATTTATTTTTACATCCTCCTACACATCTCTCTAAAAATATTTATTTATTGATTTTCTTTTAATACTTGTGACAAGATTTCTTTGTTTACGGTATTTTTCCCAGTTCTTTGATGTTTTGTATTTATTATATGTATTTTGTAACATGCGTTTCTTATAAATAGCTTGTTTTAATGTTTTATTCATATATGGTACTGTCTGGTCCATTGAACGTTTACGTTTTAAAGGGGCGTGTTTGTCTGTGACTTCCATAAAAGTTTTGCTAAAATTTGTGTATGCCTCGTTTACATTTACAGTGTTCTGGTTTAAGTTTGATAAATTAGTCTGTAAATCCTCATTAAATTTTTCAATGTCAAAATTTTTAAAAGATCTATAATTAATCCAGTTTGGTTTTTTACTTTTAGTTTCATCTTTTAGCTGAAATGCAATCAGATTGTGTACATCACTCAGTCCGCAATTAAAATTACATATTTTCCCAAAAGAAGAATTGCTATTAGTTAAAATCACATCCAGCAGTGATGGTATACCATTTTTAGTGAAGCAGGTAGCCTTCTTAATTAGACTCGATAAGTTAAAAACATCAATAATATCGTTTAAAGGAGCACATTTGGTTGGATCAAGTAAATCAAAATTTAAATCACCTAGTAAGACATATTCATCATACTTAGAACTACATTTATCTAGAGTTGTCATGCAGTTTTGTTCGAAAGTTTCATTTGACATAGATGGAGGTTTATATGCACCCATTAAAAGCCATTTCTTTTTATTTAAGATTACCTCTATGAATATAGATTCTATATCTGTAAATTCGAGATTTGATTTTCTATCTCCAGCTATATCTGACCTTAAGTACACTGCAATCCCACCACCTTTGTCATTTCTGTCTGCTCGCCATAAGTGATATCCGTTAACCTGCCATTGTGCATCCGGGAAAGAACCATCTAGTTTTGTTTCTGCAATAAATAGAATATCAACAATATTTTTAATAAGAATTTCTTTTAAAAAGTCGAATTTGTTCCTTAAACTATTAATATTTATATATGCACATGTGAATTTATTTGGACTTTCTTTTTTAATATTTATAAGTTCATCAAAAATAGCTGGAATGTCATTGTCTTCACAATCCGATTGAATTGAAGAGTCTAAGCTGATGTTCGGTTCGAAATATGAGTCACTAAAATGAAACGTGTTACAGTTTCTGCACAACCAGGGTTCGTCGTCGTTACTTAGTTTGACGTATTCACTTGCTGAGATAGCAGCACATTTGATGTGCCACCATAAGTAGCATGCCTCGCAGTACACTGCACGGTGGTTTGAAGCTACAGGCCTGTAGCAGCCTCCACAGGGAAATTTAATGGGCCCTGGGTTAAGGGCAATGTCTCCAGAAAGCTGAATTATCAATATTTTTACACAAAAACGAAAGTCAATTGGTATTGCTAGATTTCTCCTTGTATACTGGGTGTGGTAGAATAGTTGATGTAGGGCATTTGTTTGAAATCCCTGAAAAGTCCAGTTACATTTGAGTTGTTCAGCTCCAGTACAGGAATAATCTAATTTTCTTTGGTTAATAGCGAATTGATTTTCAAATCTGGAGCTAGTAGCATGATCTGAGTTAAAGAAATACCTTGTCGTCTGTGATATGTGGCTTACATCTGTTAAAATCACACATAAAATAAATAGTTTTATAGAGTTTGTCGGTGTTGCCATATTGTTAACAAAAGTCAGTGTATCTTAAATGCTTTGTCATCTATCCGATAATAAGCTTCTCGCTAACACAGTCTATCAGCTGATTGAAATTTATTAAAGCGTCTGGATGACACTGATTCCAGTTAAAAATACAAGTAAAAGCTTAAAAATTATGAATTCTTCTGGTAAAACCATATAAAAGTGATTCAAATATGTTTATATCCTCCCGTAGAAATTTTCAAGCTATTTGAAGGCGTTCTTCTTTGTTAATTTATGAATTTGTTTGACCGCTTTTTGACAGATCTTTTCGTCAAGGGAGGTAAGATAGTGACCATCTAAAGTAAAGAGTTCATTATCCTATACTTATTATCGTGGTTGTAGAAACCGAAAGTACAAAATCATGAAAATTTATTTGACATTAATTCGTATAGGATTATAATTCTACTTTTGTAGGCATTTTTAAATTGAATGATTGTCAGACATATTTTCAATCATAATTGTAGAAAATTTCTTGAACAAATATTCATAAGGTTGTATGTTACTTGTATTTTCCTTTGTTTTGTACATGTACATGTATATTGTAAAATCAGATGAATAATATATTAGATTAAGATATGCATATTTTCTTTTTTTCTACAAAATACAATAAGCACAAGATGTGAGATGTACAAATAAAGTTAAATGTTTTGTTAGATAAAAGGATTCTAATTTTTCAAGTATCAACATGTTGATTCGACCTCGTTTTTATTTTTCAATAATATCAATATACATTAGCTTTCTGTGTAAGTTTCATATTAGACTATTTATAAATACATTATTACTTTTGAAAATTTTCTAATGAAAAATCCATTGATACAAGATATAAATACCTCAAAAATGTATTTTCCTTTATTTAAATCGGGATAACTTCTACACAAACGCCCTTCATCGCCATTTTGTCGGAACGCGGAAGTTTTATTGTAATCCAATCAAAATTTAAACCGTCTACATGTTTCAAATGTGCAAATGATATGATTCGAACACTATATCTGTCGTACCATTATGATATAGGTTGTGCAGGGTTTTTTTATATTACAATTTTCTTTTCTTTTTTATTATGTATAATCGTATACTCGTAATCGTGAAATAGTTTCATTTTCAAATATGCGATGTTTTGCACAGCTGAAAGTTAAAGTAAAAATGTTAAGCAAAATATTTTTAACAGTAATCAAACATATTTTAATAATATTTTTATTCTATATCCAAGTGCCTCATTTTCAATAATTTTGGCAAATTTGTATATATCTATTTTCTTCCATTGCTTATTATTCAGTAGGCTTTAACTCTGTTGAATACGAACATGTTTAAAACTTAAAGGCCCATTATGCCTTAGAAATGCTTTAGTTTGTTTTTAAATGTTGGTATACTTTTACAGTATCCAAAAATTTACTCATTTGTCAATGGGATGTACCATCTTTTTCATCAGTTGCTTTTTGGCAATAAGTACAATTAAATTGAAATTAGTATTTTGTATGGAAGTCAATATACCACGTTGTTTACATTTTGCTACTTTTATGAAAAATTATTTCACATTTACCATTACTTTCTTTAAGTGTCAAGCATCAAACTTTCTCTAAAACCAATATTTAAATATTATAAATTTCATGTTTGTCCTTTCTTTATAAGTAAAAAAATATTTCTTTCTGAGGCATAATGTGCCTTTAAATCCAATTAGTTGAAAAATATCTTTAAAATTTAAATTTCTTTTAAATAAAAGTGTCATTCTTGGATTCGAACAAGCGTATGTACAGTCATGAAACGAGCGTACGCTATTACGCTGTGATATTAGTGAGTAATGTTAAACGTTTAGGCAATAACCCAAAAAGTATGTATTATATAAGAATTTGACACCCTCTTTATGTCAATATTGGTGGAAATAGACAATGAAAGGAACAGTAGATTCAAGCAAAATACCTCGAGAAAAATATAAATGCATTCTAAATTAAGTTGAAAATAAAGATTTGCTATTGTCAATCATTTGATCACGCTGTTGTAATATATTGTTTAATTTACGGATGACAGATACGTTATTTTTTTATTTATTTGTGATGTGTAAATGATATATGTTATTGAAATGATTTATTCATATAGATTTTATTTGTTATTGTAAAGGCGTCTTGGGGAGGGGGCTATTAGTTACTGACTTGGCTATTGAGCCATTGATAGTCATCAGCTAAAAAGATAAGTTGAATGGAAAAAAGATACTGTTTCATTTTAGTTTTAGTGCAATTATATATAATTTATCGTTCGAATGCTTTGAAATTATACTATCGCACATTTGAACTCGATTCGCTGTCTACAACAGTGTGCTCAAACTTGATATCTATTTTTAATAGACCTAAACATGATACGCGATTTATCATGATTAAATGTGTTGTACGTTAGACAAATCAGCGTTATCTTTAATTAAAGGGATAAAATATGTTATAATATTCCTAAACAAGATTTGGATGATATTCTACCAATACATGTGCAATGCTTTTATATTGTCAAATTTATTTGTAATAGATCTACATTTAATTGATTTGGACTATTTCAATTCTATTGAAATATATAAGAAGTCGGTCCCTTACTGTAATCAAGATTCTTGTTTTTTTTTGTTGTTTTTTTTTGTTGTTGTTTTTTCAAAAAGCAGCATGTTTACGCAGCGATCTATAATTTTCGTTAGTTTATTTCATTTTTAAAAATGATAAATTGTACATAATATCATAAAGATATCATATCATTGTTAAAAATCAGTTTATGATAAGCAATTTCAAATTGTAATAGATAAATACCTTAATCAATAGTAGGATACTACGTCATCGCGCACCTGCCGAATGCTCCCACTTGGACCATTTTTTCGCCGACTCGAAGGTAAAATACAATTTTATTATAAGAAAACGTAAGAGTATTAAAAAATCATGTAACGCACCAAAGAATGGCTATAGTACTTGAGATAATTGTAGAAAAAGTTTATAGAAATATTGCCTGGTTTAGGCCTGAAAACGGGATAAGTGTTTTTCTCTGAATGCTCCCACTCGGACTTTTCCCGAAACATATATGAAATAAGGTTGAAAACCTTCTTGAAAATTATTTTTAATGTACCGGAATATAAACCGAGTCATGTTTACACATTTTTCCAGATTAGTTTCAAATATTTCTATTTAAAAGTCAGTTTTTTAAAGTTGTTTTTATAAAAATGGAAAATGCTCCCACTCGGACTTGATTTCAGAGATGCTCCCACTCGGACCCAAATATATACATTTTGAAAGCACATTGCTGTGTTAAGTTTTTATGGATTATTCTAACAATTTTTACACCATTTTGTCAATAACTAGTCTACTGTGCTTGACAACATTAACTTTTCCTTCTTTTTACAGAGATCACTTCTTTGATTATGAAGAATTACGTCGTTGGGCAGGAACATGGCAAAGTTTCAACTGACAGGATCACTATACAAAAAGGTGAACTTGGCTTGTGTTGGATCAGAAGGGATGATTCAAAATTATTGCCAACAACAAAGCTAGGACTATAAGACTTTAAATGGACAGTTTGGATCTCAAGAATAAAGTTTTGTTTAGATGTTAAAAAAATGGTGGTGTTTTTTTAAGAAGTCATTATACATCGTTAAGTACCATACTGGATTAAGATTCTGTTGGACTCGTACACATATTAGAGGCCTGCATTTATTCAATATTGCTGACTTTAATATATTTTTAATAATTTAAAACCCAATGTTTTGCGTGTTGGTTAAACTTGTGATTTAGATTTTAAAACAACATAATGGTACGTTTATGAACATAACGAAGTCAATATCTATCAGTTGATTTGAATAGTTTATTAAAGAACAACATGTAAATCATTTTTTTCATGAACTGGGTAAAAAGTCAATGTACTACCATACCATGGCACATAAAGCATGCATCACAATTATTGACAACTTTGACAATTTTAAGTTTTTTTACTTATAATAACAATATTAAATAAAAAAGAAAACAAAGATCACAGTTATATCTTTATTACAGTCTTTACTAAAGATCCTGTAAGGTATATTTCAGGTTGTTACCAATTGAAATTTTATATATATGTATATAATTATGCTACTAAAACAATTTTCAAACATTAAGGAGGAAATACATGTCATAGGGGAAGTAACCCTTACATACATGTAAAAATTCCAAGTAATTACAATCGTGAAAATTAATGAAAAGTTATAGCCTATACATAATGAATCATGACAAAAGTTACACTCCATTGAAAAAAAAAACAAAGAAAAAACAACAAAGAAGCATTAAGTGAACACTTCTGGTCCTTATGCTCTGCTATTCACTTCTATTAACCTTTTCCCTTATATAAGCGTCTTTCGACGGCTTTTTGCCCCCCCCCCTTTTTGAGGCCTCAAACAGTGAAAAAATGCCCTATTTAGGCAGGCCCCAAACACTGTTTTTCGTTTGAGAAATGTTGTTAAAAAAGTGACCACTTTTTCGGCGCCGTCCCCCATCCAAATGTTACATTAGGTGGTTGCCAGAAGGGGGATGTGCCCCCTTCTGTTTGGGGGGTTTGAAGGGGGGCGGAGTCTCCCTCATCGCCAAGATAATTTTGGACAGGTGACAGGCTAAAAATGGCCTCAGGTTAATCTTAGGGTAACTAGTAACCGACGCTGAAAAGCCTTTTACTCTATCTCAATTCATTGAGAAGTTGAAGCACTTTGAAATCAGTTTTGATGGAAAAAGAAACAATGCAAAATAGTGATTTTTGGCAATTTGAGACGTCCCCCCGTTGCCATGGTAACAGGCAATTTACGATTGAGCATGCTGTTACAGAGGCTATGGTGTAGTCAACATTTGTGCCAAGTTTCATCAGTTTTGAAGTATTTTTCATAGTTTCACAGCAGTTTGAGCTTGTTACAGGAGGCTTTTCAATGAAAATGGCAATTTTTCGCAATATGCTCATGGGGTAAAAGGTTAAATATGTTCAATATAAAGTTTCAAGTTTATATC